CGCCCTTTGTCTCCTTTCCTTCCTTATCCCCGGGTGCGTTTACAACGCCTAATTACCGTAATTGGCTGACCAACGTCCTCCTCGCCGGCTCCCAAACGACGACTTCCCTTATTGCCCCCTCCCGATCATTTTCCCATTAGCATACCTCTTGATTACGCGCATCCCGAATCCCCCGATTTCTCTCTCCACCTTGGACTTGTTACCCTTTGCTGCTTTCATTCTACTGTACATTCTCACCGAATATAATGACCTTTGCTTACGTATATATTCACTCGAGTCAAAATTGACTGACGTTCATATATGGAGATGAGACACTGCTTCCCACGATGTTTTTTTTTTTTTTTTTTTTTTTCAGCTTCTCACGTTGTACCTACTTCAACTTTGCTAACTCGTCTGACACGAGGCTTATTAGTCTTAACGAGGAATTACCAGTGTCGGTTTACTAAGAAAAGATTCAAGCTTAGCCAGCCGTCACCAATAACCCAAACCCTTCGCTTCCACTCCTTTTTTTCTCTTGTATTTTTCTGGCTTCGTGTCTTTGAACACTTTTTTTTTCCATCGCGTAACTTTCACTAGAAACTATATACATATTTTGAAAAATCAGCAGCTTAATCCATACAAGGGGCTGTGGCGTTGCGTGTGAAGCACGATATACAGTTATGGAACAGAAAAATATAACTTGAGGTTCAAAATATTTTGAAATTAGCAAAAAATAAATAAAATCAAAAATGTTTCTCCATTAATGAAAAAAAAAAAAAAAAAATGTATCGATACTTTAATACAAACTGTTCCTGTATAGCGATTGTAGTACATACCTGTAGAAATCGTTTTGAAAAATTTCCTTTTCTCCCCAAGTATTTTCGAGGGAATGGAATAAGTGAATCATCAAGCTTCTACCTTCTCGTGTACATTTTAAAAACATTTTAAAAATACGCATGATAATGAGTCGGTGATTTTTTAATTTTAAAAAAGCCAAGGTGGCGTTTCTATTTACAGTATTGTAAATCGACACTCGACGCAGTTACCGTTCGACCGCATGTTTCCGTCTATACCACTCCGCGCGGACTAAAAGTCCTACACTTACTGATACAGGTATACGCGGGTTTCTCGGTAAAAGTACAAAAATTGTGTTGCTTGTAATGTAAGTGCTCGTGTAGACAGCCACTACTACTATACTTACACCGCCGCCGGCCGACCGACAGCATCACTAACTTTGCCTCGCGTAAGATTTTCGTGTTACCTCTTTAAGCCTGAAACAATATTTGCGGAGACTAAACACACGATTGGGCACTCGTTGCCTCCAAGTTTGTTCGAAATTATAGCTTACAAATATTTGTCATGTCATACGCGTGAGAAATGAGCGGAGAACACCATTCTCGAAGTATCCAACAAAAAAATTCCCCCCATCACCTGCGATCGCGTAAATCCATTTAAATTCTCATCGGCAAGTAAGTAGAAAATAATATTGAACACGTGGGTCTTTGTGAAAAAAAAAAAATACTCGGCTGTGAAAATTAAAAATAACAGCGGAGCGACTGATTCGATGAGAGTAGTATACTATGTGGTGGTTGAAATTTCGGGTGACGGTGAAACTCAATTGACGAGCGCGACTCGGGTTAACAAGCACAGGGAGCGTGATAGGCCGGCTCGTTCGAGGAATCGTCGCAGAATGTAACACATGGGACCTCACGCGGCACAGCGGCATCCTCTATACCCTATATAATAATAATACACACACACACTCCCTCGGTTAGCCGAGTGCACGGGCACTATATTATATGCATCACATTGGCGAGAAGAAGCCTCGCGCTGATTTGGGTCGCGCCCGCTGGGTGGTCCACGCGAACGTATATACACCGCCACGCGGGAATCAATGTCAAGTGAACCTCGTCAGCGATACTCGCGCGCACCCGAGTGTGTGTGTGTGTGTGCGAATTCTCTAATCAAGTTCTCCCCCCCCCCCGATGGCGGTGGCTTCGAAATTTCGCCGCTGATGCCTCCGTTCTCTCGGTTATTCAATTTGTCCGATACTAACTTGATGGACGGAGGATTTCGGGAATCGCCGCGTTCACGGAACGGAGTATGACTCACGAGGATGAATTCATACTTTCGCGTAGCCGCGGTATTAAAACGGGATTATTGAAAAACGGTTGCTCGGATAAGTTGAAAAATTAATTGAATCGGCGGGTAGAGTTTCGCACGAGTGATTATTACCGTTTTCCATGTCGTCGTTGCAAGAGAAAGTGGGTGCTGCGCGGCTAATGCATTTGTTACGCGCATAGGTATACGTGTACGAAGGAAGCAGAATTCGAGTGCCGGTGTGGTTCTCGGAGTTTATATTAATTTATTGTTGTCGTTTGTGTTATTTATGAAACTTTCCACTCGAAGATTTTGCAATGCTCTCCACTCGAGGTTCGGCACCAATGGTTTTTACCAGTAAGTGCGTTGTTGCGCTCTCGATGATGATGATGTAACTTGATCGTAAATAGAATTCTTATTCTCTTCGCAACGAAGGAGCGTAAATGAATAAGTCTCCTTTTTATCCTTTTATTACCATCGTCGAGTGTTCGTTGGGCTCCCCAAAAAATTAAGAGTAGGTGTGTACCACTTCTGAAGATTATATTATAATTTTAGTGGGCATAAAAAATACATCGATTTTAAATGTTACACTGCTTTGAAATTCAAATTTTGCAACACCTACGAGGAGTACCTATCGTTCGAATGTTACGTAAATAAATTATTTTTTTGTCAATTTCATTAATTTGTTGCACTTTGTTGTATACGTCTTTGAATAAATTTATCATATTGTCAAGAGACATTTTTTCATGAAAGTATCGTTATAAAAGGTGATTTATATCGATTATATATTACAATTGAGAATTTAATCGAGATTTTCTAAAAACAAGTATGGGCATATTGTACGAGACAAATCACCAACAGTGAAAATTTCGTAACTCTTTCAACTTTAGTAAATCAGCCGTAAAAAATTAAATTTTTATTACACCAATTAATATGTGAAAAAATGTACTACTTTATTTTATTCAGCTAAATTTTATTCACTTAAAACTTGATTCAACATAAATATTATACGAAATGCGAGACGAAATGTTACTTGAGATTTTAGCCATACAAACAAGTGGCTATAATCCAAAAAAATTAAATTTTGTGTGCAAGGGACGACTTATCATATCCTCTGACGATGAAACAACCTAAAACTAAAACGGTTTGCAAATGTTTTGTTTTCGTTTATTTTTAGCAAAAAAAAAATAAAAAAGAAATTTTTTTTTTTTTAATCCACCATTTTTCATGACTTTGTCTATACACATGAGTTTGAATCAATGAAATTTTGTAAACATTTGAAATACTGTTTGCCCAACGAAATTTGAAAAAACTTTTCAAACCTAGTATTCTCTGCAAAACAGTAAGTGTATTAGCTGCGAGAAAAGGATTAAAAGTGTTAGCATGGTTCGGTGGTCGAGAAGGAGAAGAAGGCAGTGGGTGGTGAGGTGATGTTGGCGGAGAAAAAAAAAAGTCGTGAGACGAGGTGGTGTGTCGGGCTGTTCGATAACCACCGCAAGATGGCCGCGTGCGCGGGCCACGAGGCTCGGGCGCTTTTTTACGTGTCGCGTATACAATATGCGCGGTGCACTGCACATATAGGATGCATTAGGCCTTGGTTACGCGGCGTCGTTTTCTGCTGCTGCGCGCGCGCACAAATGCAAGCAAAACCACATGATTTTTTTGTTCATCGTTCCGTTCTTACACATGTTTTTTTTTTTTTAGCTCATCGAATGGGTGGTTATAAAGTCAATGCTCTTTTTCATCATTGTACTTACTCGAACATTTGGATAGTGCATCTAGAGGGGCTATTGGAAAAATATACGTGTACTTGTAATTTCTTTCAAATCCAAACAGTATTTTAATATCCATCCGTTTTTTCTATCATTAATCGTTATTTAAAAATTGAAAAATAGTTATTTGAAATTATGATGACACTTGTTCTCGATTCAAACTATTTTTACTGATTAGGTATTCGTGTGTTCGTTCAATAAAAGTATCGTAATCTACGCGAAAAAGTGAAGAAAAAAAAAAATCATAATCATGAAAGTGGACGAGGTTGTGTCCGTGGAGGAGGTAACAATCAGCAATAATAAGATACGGTCACACGCGAAAACACCGAAAATCATCAGCTCGAGTTTCTCTGTTTTCCTCGGCTCGCTTCTGCGCATGTATACACATAAACCTGCATACCACCTACCCATACCTCGCAATATACACCTGAACAAAAACCACGACGACGGAGATGTTGAGAGCAATTTCGTGATTTACGAGTATTCTCGACTGATTGCTCGCTGCACAAAAGTCATCTTGGCATGCACGGCGCTCGACTTTCCCCTCGCGCTCTTTGGAAAAAACCGTTCTCTCTCTCCGGTCCCGCGGGCTTGCATAGCTCGAGAGAAAACAAGGAAAAGTAAGGGAGAAAGGGGTATACAATGGTATTACAGATAATCAGTATTGCGCGAAAATGATCGACATCCCGAGCTCCCCGCAATTTTCTCCAACTGTATTTTTTTGCACACGGCGAGCCACCCCGATCTCTTACGCTGCTGCTGCTGCTGCTACTGTCGTCTTGAGTCTACTATATGTGTATATATACGCTCTTACCCCGCGCGTGTGCTTATTGATTTTTCCCCCGTTGTTGTTTTCGCGCTTACTCGCGCCTCCGCTCATTCGGTCCTCTTTGCTCTTTCCATTAATCCACAAGTTAGGGCTGAGGTGCGTACAAAGGACCTTTTTTTTTTTTTTCCTTAAAAAATAATCGCACGATTAATTATTGCGCATATTCCAACACCATCTTAGACTTGAATATCTCATTCAAAAAAAATAATAAACTGGTGTGATATGACCTTCATGCAGTTAAACAATAATCATCCCATACAATGATCGTTAAATGAGCAACTTGTAAAATAATCGTGTAAAATATTTTTGTATGATTACAGACAAATGTTCCCGCAGATGAAGTTCCGAGTATCGGGGCTCGACGCCAAAGCCAAATACATCCTTCTCCTGGACATTGTAGCCGCGGACGACTACAGATACAAATTTCACAATAGGTAAGCCGAGCGATTCACACGAGTCTGTATCTCAAAGACTGGTGCCCTCGAAAGCACAGTCGTAAGGACGTGTATTTGCATTATCGTGGGGTTGTCTGTAAGTTTGATTGAAAGAAATGAAAATTGCTCTGGAGGGGCTTCCGGGGAGCACCTTTCAATTAAACCGGCCTCGCTGGGAGGGGATTCAATTTCTCGCTCGTTGAAAATAATTCATCATACAACGCCGATTGGGAATAAAAATTTCAACCCCAGGGGTCCTGAACTTGATTTAAAAATTGCTACCACCATTAAAAACTTGACGAGAGGAGCTGTTTATTCTCTATTACCCAAACGTAAATGCCAGTGGTAGCGGTGATGATAATAATGAACATTGAAGCATGTACAATATGAATGTATAGTTATTGTATGGGGGAGCAAAGTGCGGGGGGGGAGTGGGCTCTATTAAATGTTATTAACGTCTGGTCGTTTAATCGTTTGTTTGGATTGCCACGCCGAGCAGCAGGTGGATGGTGGCGGGCAAAGCGGATCCGGAAATGCCGAAGAGGATGTACATCCATCCGGATTCGCCGAGCAGCGGTGAGCAGTGGATGCAAAAAGTCGTAAGCTTCCACAAGCTCAAACTCACAAACAATATCAGCGACAAGCACGGCTTTGTAAGTACTGTACGTAACGCCAACAATCATGATTTACTTATTTTATTATTACACCTAATAGCTCCTAAGTTTATAATTGTAGCACTGCATCCATATATATTAATATTGCATATTTTCATTAATTCTCTCTGGTCCCATTGCTTTTTATTCTTTCTTTTCTTTTGCCCTCTGTTCACTTAAAACAGCAACACACGTAGCTGATGATAATGTCATACACATTCAAGTTGATAAAATGTCTTGGTCACATTGGTCTGGCGATTGGCGTATATAAATAAAATTCCATCGGTTGGGAGTGACACGATAAGAACAACAATGGCAGCCGTCCGATGATTTGGGCCCGGGCGTGTAATTGTATCAGTTACACCCTTGACGTGTCGAGAGTGTCGCTGATGAAAATCCCGGGCAGAGCCATTAGCGGCAACAGACGGCAGCCGAGATCACCTAGGGGGGGGGGGGTATAGGTGTACGTTGCATTAAGTAGGTACACACCCAGCCGTCGTCGGACGGGGAGACATGTGCGCGCAGGGGACGCATCCGTGTGAAAGAGGAAGCGTCTGCCGCACATTCAGAGCAGGCAACGGCCCGTGAAACGTTTCAAAGCGAGGAAGACTCCCGACACCAAGTAATCCCAGATTAAGTTATCGCGGTTGGGACTTGGTCGTCAAGTAGCGAGACAAGTAGAAAAAGAGGGACGCTTTCCTCCGCTCTTCCCCCATTTTTAATCCCACTTTTCCTCCCCCCACCCCCCCCCACCCGTGGTCCCATAATCGATGGAAGCTGCGTGCCCTCCTCTCTATGTACGCACTCGCGTCCCTTTTCCTTTTTTTTCCCGTATGAATCCTTTTTGCGGTGTAACGTCGGCGGCGGCGCCTTTTGAAGGATCCTACATCGCTGGCTCGTGAAATCTAGTCCTCGCTCCTTGCCCGACCTTCGACGTCAATGGCGCTACTATAGGTGTGTACTGTCGCCCTACCTCGTATTCATATACATATATACCTACAATACAAGTTGTTGATGCCGTTCCGCAACCCATAGGGGATCTCTTACTCTCTTTTTTCGACATATACATGGGTACACGCGAGCTCTGTTCTCTATAGCCATTTTTCTCTCTCTTCAATCGACTCTTTTGTGCTCACTCCTTCAGAATTTTTTTTATACTTTTTCCCTTAATTGTTCCCTGTTTTCTTACAAAGTAATTGTTTCTCCAATTTTATGTAAGTGCTTCGATTACTCCACAGTGAACTCGTCCATCCAGCATTTTTTACTTCTTCTGGAATATCGTTCGCTACTCAACCTCCTTTTTTTTCGTAATTTAGAATAGTAAAATTGACGTCCCACGAGTTTACCTGTCACTAGCTCGGGCAAACTCATACAATAAGTATAGGTACGTGCGAGAGAAAAAACAATACCGCGTACTCGCCAGAGTTTATTTTTTCTCCGCTGGTGCTCTTGAAAATTAGATGTTGGGCGGTGCGCGTTCATTCGTATGTAATATAAAAGGTATCCCGCATGTCGCCGAATAATAAAAGAGAGAGTCTCCTCGGGTGTGCCGTGTGACGTGCGTGAGAGTATATAGGTATGGTAACAAAGGGCCGTTTGCGGGCGGCGTCGGCGGCGACAGAAAAACAAACCGGTGTCCGCCCGCGGATCGAAAAATAAAAGACATCCATATATATATAAATATATAGAGCCGTACAGAAAAGGAGGAGGAGAAAGATGCGGAGACGAGCGGCCACTTGCAGCGTGCCGCAAAGGATTTTTTTTTTGTCTGCCTATAATACAATCGTGTTACATAAGGTAGCCACATCTAGGCGGTAATTTACGCATCCGCGAAGCCTAAGTGGCCCCCCTACAAATACATCCGATCTGTATAGGTATTTGTGTGTATTGCGTGTAACCCACGTCAAGTATACATATATATGTGTGTGTGTACGAAAGCAAACTGCAAGGGGTGAGTAAGGAACACGGGCGCCGAAAGGCCCCCCTTTATCCCTTGGGACGGCTAATAAGCGCGCAAGGCGCGGTTTTCACCTGGCGACGGTGACGACGACGCGAGTGAAAGGGGCAAAGGAGGTGGGGGGGGGGAGGGAAAGGGTAACGACACACCGCATATTATGCGAACGAGCACGAAAAGAAAGAGAGAAAGAAAAAGCCCGAGATGGAGCATAGGTGGCGCGCCCGACCAAAGCACACATGCGTGCATGTGCAGTGCCCATATAGATATATTATATCCGTATACGGTCCAGCGGCTGTACATAAGTATATATATATATGTGTGTGTGTGTGTGTGTGCATAAGACCGGCTCCTTTCAAAAAGCTGCAGCATCTACATCAGCAGCAAAGAAACCGCCGCCGCGGCTCCTTACAATGCGTGCGTATATATATGTATAGGCTGCACGCCTCCTTTCTTTCACGTGGCGGGAGTAAGCGCGCAAGAGTTTCATTTATATACTTAGTTACATGCACGGGAGGAAAGGGGAGGCAGCCATACCTATGCCAACCTCCTGTAAGCGGAGGTAAATGCGCGCCGAAGAATTCGCGCTCATAGTTATACTTACTATACCCGCATTTAGATTTTTCACAATGGGTACCTGCGATTAGAAAAAAGAAAGCCCGTCTCTACGTTTGGCCTGTACATGTACACCTATACAGAGCTTTCTCCCACTTTGTGCTCCTTTGAGAGGATTCGAGGTCCCGCGCTTTGGCTGATACAAGCAATCCGCCAACGCACCCTCGACAAGTTCACTTGCTGCTTCTGTTCGCCTCTCTGTCTCTCCCCATTGCCTATATATATATACACTGTATGATCCACGGACGGAATTCCCGAGCACTCCCGCGAAAGTTTCGTACCCTCGAGGAAGTTGGCGGTGGCTGTATAGGCATCAGCGACTCGATCAAGATTCGATTAGAGCTTCCGCCTTTACTATGCATTGAGAGAGAAAGTAAGCACCCCTGTCTAGCGAAAAGCCCTCTGTAGCCGCGAGACGTGTATTACGTTTTGTTCCTTGTCCACGTGGGTTATTTTTTATTTTTTTTTTTCTCTCAAAATTGGGGGGGGGGGAGGAAAAAAGAGGAGAGACGCTTACGCGTATAGGTATTTCGTTCATTTGCACGCCTCTATACGCATCGGTTCTCAAGTAAGGAGCATCACGCGTAAGGCCACGTTTGTTTTAGAAGTAAAGTCCTCGGCTCGTCTTGGCCTACAGCTGTAAATTTTACCTGGAAAAATCAGATCTCGGCACGGAGATCTCTTTGCTTTGTAATTCCATGCGAGGTGCGTACACCTTACATATATAGATACACATCAGGTGCACATGTATATTGAAAAGTCGAAGAAATAAAATGGGATACAAAAAGGGACACCGTTCCCCGACACGCCCCCCAAACAGATTACCCGATGGCTTCTTGAGTGGTGCGGGTGCACCGCGGAGATCGCAATAATTAGATGTAGGCGGTGAAAGGGCCGAAAAGAAAGTTGCACCCCGTGGAGAAAGAGGACCCCGTGTATATGTATATTATATTGTTGTACACTCAGGGGTGACAGAGTGCCTTGACGAACGACCGTGGAACCTCGACCTCTGTGTGACGCAGCAGCTTTTTTTTTTTTTTTTCTTCTATTACCAGCTATACGTCATACCCACACCTATATATACCTACTTAGTTACTTACTGCTTGCCGAGCCTAATCTCACAAAGATCTTGCGACGATCGGGATACCTATGCCCGAGAAAGGTGTGCGCGTGGCCGTGTGCGAGCGACGAAAGGAGGAGCGGAGAAAAGTGGCGCCTGTCGCTGCGGTGAGCCTCGACTGACTGACTGGCCCTTGTATATAATACAATACACCCGAAAAATTACGAGGTCACGGCGACAGTGGCAGCTGCTGTCCAGCCTTGCCTCCGTTTATTTGGTGGGTATATATATATAGCTGCTCGGGGGATGGCTCTATTGGCTCAACGGGATAGTTTTCCTGTAACGGTGAAAATAGCGGTTCCACAACGTAGACGGGACTTTTTTTCCAGCGTTTCGGGGCCCAAAGAAAGCGGGAAGCGTTTTTCGAGGGCCTATTTTTCCAAAGTTAATTTATGCGATGATGACCAATTGTCGGAAAATTTTGCTTAGGTATAGCAGCGTTTTAGGGCGAGTTCGCGAAAAGTGCCATTTATTTGAAGCGAGAACCCAAAGAGTAGCTCAATTAATTATATCGGGGAGCTGAAAAATTTTATTGTGCCAAAGCTCAAATAAAAGCTCGTGTAATAAAAAATACCACGAGTTTCAAACGAAACGGTACACCAAAGATATCATTTCTCGGGGGGAAAAAAAGTTGTTCATGTTTAATTTATGATTAATTAAAAACTTTTATTCGATGATAAATCACACCCGCCAATCAGCTACATCATATTTTCTAGCTGTCAGAGTAGAAAATGTTTGTATACACAGGATTAAATACATGGTTGGCGGGGTATCATTTGAAAGTAACCTGCCGTACGTGTGTGCTTAGCGATCGTGACGAGTTTTTTTTTTTTTTTTTTCCCTCGCTTTCTGATACTCTTATCTGATCGATTTACTCGAAAACTTGGCTTCAAGGGTCTTTCCCTGTACAATTATAACAGTACGATCTCGAGGGTTAAACACAAATAAGTTGAAAAGTTTTTTTTTTTCACACCAACTTTTTAGTGCTCGCTTTAGTTGGGAAAACCAGTTGGAGCCAATTGTATTAAAATTTTTCTTCAATGATTTCAACTTATGAGCGATTTTTTTTTTTTTTTTTTTTTTTTTTCCTAAAAAAAAGTAGGAAATATAATCAGAAAGCGCAAAGATAAATAAAACGCACACCCACGTGCGTGTCGAGGGAAGAAGTAACGGATGGAATAAAAAAATAATAATAATAATAAAAGTGAGAGAAATGTTAGCTCCGGAAGCACTGATGCTTTTCCGTACTTAGATAACGTCATGGGCTCGTAAAAAAAAAGAGGAGCACCACAACACTGCTGTTACACGAGCTCACATCCAAACG